AATGGCGGCAATTCCTTGGAAGTGAAGGGATGTGGAAGAAGGGGAGTGATTTAAATGAAGTTGGGGTATGGCCAGCAGCAGTAACAGCATCAGAGTATCAGACATGGCCGACCAGACCAGCATCATTCATGAATCAATCCATAATCATAGTTTTCTCCGCAATTTCTAACAGCCCTCAATCAGGGTTGGAATCCCGGCACCGAATGGATCATTTACACTTCTTCACAAGGGACCAAAAGGGATAATTCATGAGTGGGAATCATTACCGGCATTGACCGCATCAGCTCATCATTCTAGTTATATCTGATCCCACCAATCAATAGATAGACTGCAGAAATGCTTCTCGAAGGGTTCATAAGAAAATTGTGTGCAAATGCACTTATTGGGTTTATGATATGGAAAGATTACAAGTGAGCTCTTGAAGTATAATTCTTAGCTTCTATGCCCTTTTACTACGAATTCATTTCTTTCGAACGATTCCGTCTAGTTCACGTTATTGCTCCGTCAAAGTTAATGACCCAGACTCGTGAGATTAGATTTCCTAGAATTCGCGGCTACAACATGATTCTGGTATGACTTGGTAAACATTTTCGACACTATAGCGATATCTAAGAACCTGCTTACCATTTGATTCGGAAAATATACGTAGAGGTAAGGGCAGTGCGAGCACAGTGGTCAAGCACGAATTCGATTCGCATCATCATCCCAAGCAATTCGATTAGCATCCTTGTGAGATTGATATAAGAATGTGTTCTATTACACGGTAAGATCGTGCATCCTACGATCCATTAAATGTATACCATGACAATTTTATAAATATCTGAATTTGTATAGTAACCACTTCATCGATTCAAAAAACTTGGTATTGGTGTACAAACCGGGAATTATTGGTGTACATGATAAATAGGGTTCTGAAAACTAGACTGTTATGTACAATGACTCTTTCGATCTGAAGAAGTTAAAAACCTAGAATCATCAGACATTGTGAGGTGGATTCATGTCTATGGTAAACAGAGCAAGTAAAGCAACACTCGAGACTTCAGAGCTTCATCTCCTGGTCATTTTTCACCTGGTTAAAAACGTTGCAGTGAATGCCAGCAGTCATCCACAAGTGCGGGAGGAAGAGAAAGGTTTGATCACTCACTTTCAACCATGTCTTCCTCTACCTCTACCACGTCCCCTTCCCCTGCCTCTCCTTCCTCTTCCTCTACCGCCACGGTCCATGCCATGACTCCCATCGCCGTCTCTCTCAAAGTTAAACATTGACATCCTGATGTCGGTTGCTACCGTGTCTGGAGGTCCTCTTTGAACCTGGACGAAGACAGGTGCAAATGAGAATATGATATCAAGGGTTCACAAAGACACCGTGAATCAAAGTAAAGATGATGCAGATAATACGAACATGGGAATCTTCCATATCGAGTTGGTTTTGCAGCTGCCATGCGAGATCCTCGTCGTTACTGGTGTCTGGGAACGCGTTTCTGGTATGTGGCTTAGGTCCACTGTTTCTATTTTGCCATTCCTCTAGCGTCCAAGTCTGAGGTTCTTCCGCGTCATCTCTCCCCCCTCCCCTGTACTGTCTGCGGCCTCTGGAACGCCGATCGAATTGGCTAGGAGGTGCCATCTTCTGGAGGAGTTTCTGAGCAGCAGCTTGGTTTTGCACAGGTACCGATTCAGCCACTGAAAATCACACAAACATTGGTGTTGATATCTGCATGCAGAAACTTAAGTTTACTAGAGTTCTAGTTGTAGAGATTAGAGAGAAATGGTGCAACCCTGCTGCATCTTATCCTAAAATTTTGACGCACTACCTACCTTCTGATTGGAAGATGATTCATACCCACGACCTACCCATACTTTTACAAAAATACCACTCAAATTTAGGATCACAATCTACACATTTCAACAAACCACCTCCAAACAACCCATAGAGATTCAGTAGCTCTTCCTTTATCCTCCAACTCAAAATAAAACATATCCATAAACGTAGATCCCCCCATCTTCTGGCAGTATTGACGTAGATATCTATAAATGCTTCACAATAAGTGAAAATCACACAAAAAGTTTGGAACTAAAAGTAAGAGAAAAAGCTGCTGCACCTTCTTTCGGCCTAATGTATGAGGTGGTTGCCTTTGGTTCATTACTTGCTGCAAGTGGAGCTGGTTTCAGATTGCTGGTGCTGGGACTATCTGAAGCATTTTGAACTTCCTCAACAGCAGAAGGGAAGGTGGATGTGGAGGTAGAAGCAGAGTAACCTGCAAAATTGGCATGTACTGTTTGTTAGTGATTGATTCCCAGAAACAAACTACTCAGCTAATCCCATAAGCATCTTTCCATAAAAAGGGGGTAAAAGCAAACCACACCCCGTCAGTAATTAACTTATTAATTCAACCTGAACCTGTAGAGTGCTCGTGAATAACCATTTAAAATAAAACAAAACCAGACAGACATGAGACATCAATTTCGTCTTCTTTTTTTCTCTTTTGAATACAAAAACCAACAGATCGATGTCTCAAGGAACACCAATTGTATCTCCTTCCTCCACGTACCGTTACATTGTTACGGGCTCATCTCAAACTTCCAAATCGATAAAAACTTCTCCAATGTACAAATGTATCCTAAGCTGCATTATAGTAATCTTGCTTAATATTTTAAAATGGTTCTCTAATCTACCAAACTTCTGAACTTAAGTATAAGCTTTCCATCCAAGGAAAAGAGAGCCATAGTCACCCTCCAGCAAAACAATGGTTCTAAGGTTACAATACCAATCAAATCCTTACTCCAATGTGAAAACTTAAGCAAAAATGAAGAAGAAAAGACAAACCAACGTTCTGACCTTCCCTTGGTCTCATTGCGTAGGGAATAGGCCTCCTCTGTGCATTTTCCTTCGCCGACACTGTTTTCACTTTGTCAACTACACTTTCCGCTTTCTTTTGAACATCATATAGCCCAATTTCAGGTTTCATCGCAGTTGCTTCAGCTACAGGCATGCTGCTTCTTGAAATAGCCTGAAAGTAATCTACAAACGAAGTAACATTAGCCATTCTAATGAGACGTGCAATATCATACCAATTTGAACACTTAAAAAGATTAACCATTACCAGAAACTCTGTTTCTTTGAGTAGAAGGACGCACGGAGGAAGCTCCAGCTTGCAACTTTGCAAAAGCAGGAGGTCCAGCAACACCGCCTTCCTCAGTCGGCCTCACGGAAGAACGCGAGAACACAGAGTACTTCTGGTTCATATGCCATTCATCATAAAGCGATTGAACAATGCCTCCAACCACAGTCATCACTTTAGGGTTCAAGCACAATATGCCACAATGGATCGGAGCCTTGTTCTCCACACGAACCTACCATTCGGCAACAGTTTACAACAGAATTCAAACACTCTCGACTTCCAGAAAAAAAAAACAACGAGCGGCTAGCAATCATTTCAATACCTTGGCACCAGGAGCGATATCGCTTCCGATGGAAGCCAAGTGGGAGTACTCAATCGCAGGTATCTCGGTGTGACCGTCGGTGAGGACGAGCTTGAGTAGGCGCCGGTGACCGGTGCTTGAAAATGCCTCTACGGTACTGACGGCTATGTCTCTCACGGAAGATATCTGAAGGATTTTCCGGCCTTGGAGATGAGAAGCTTTGCGCAACGAATTGGCGTCCGGCAATGACTTGCCGCCGATGGACCTGAGGTCCATATCGAGGAGCTGGGACTCGACGGAATCGGCCACTGTCGAAGCTTTCCCATCGTCGGACAAGGCTGATTGGACCAGTACAATGGCCTTTACTTGATCAAGGTCGCCGATGCACCAGCCTCTGGTGGTTAGGGTTTGTATGACGTCCTCTGCGAGTTTGCTCGACATCGAGCTCTCTCCCTCCATTTCCATGGCGATTTGGTTTGTAACTGGGACTTAAGAGAGGACTCTTACAGTTTCGAAACGGGCCTGTAATGTGTTGGCGAATTTGAGCCCGGCCCGTTTGAACAGAAAACGTCATATTGACAACCCATATAATAATAGCACGATTAATTATGACACGGTGGTTGATCGTCACGTCCTTTAACTATGAGATCAAGAGTTTAATTCTTGTCTATGAAAATAAAACTCACTATTGATGTCAATCCATTACCACTTTGTATGAGAGATTAGATAGTGTTTAGAACTCACTAAGTCATTGTGGATGCTAAGGGCGTGGCTTGACTTGCACGTAATCTAACCCTAGGATATGTAACAACGTTTGAATCTCATCATAGATTTTCAGCATAACGTGATAACGCTCATCTGTGTAAGAATCTGCTTGACAAAAGAAAGAAAAAATCAAATCCTAAATCGAGAGGCCTTCTTTCATGGAATACACTTGCGACTCAAACCAAGGAAAACAGAGAGAGGGTGAACATTTACCATCGTCATCATCGTTGGTTGAGAAGGAAGACATCAGGAAAAAAAAGGGAACCAACTCACTTCTTCGATTTGGCGCCCCTTTCCCCAACTCGCTCGCCAAGATCTCACTGCCCTCTCACCGAATTTACAAGAACCCACTAATAAAGTCGAAAGTTCACAATTATACCCGATGAAAATTTTGACCTGACTCATTTTTACTCGATATGTTTGACCTGTTTTGGGACGAGTAATGAGCGGGGATAGTCAATCTAACATGCTCTGCTCCGCCCTATTCTCAACTCATTTTCGTCTAAATTACATGTAATTTTACTTGAATTACTAAAGTTTTCATTTTAATAATTCATATTTTAACTATAATGAAGTTGTAAATTGGTGCGAACCTCATTTCTCTAATAACTACATTTATGATGTTGTAGTTTGATCCTAATGACAAAAATGAATATTTCAATTGTTTTCCTATAAATTGTATATCCATATAGATCAATCTATTCCGATTCACGTCCCGTGATAAGTTACTCCACCTGTCACGAAGCTGATGATATCAATATCGAGATACTCGCACGGACCTGCCCATTTGGTGCATCAATAGACGCATATGTAATTCGGAAACAGAAATGCCTGCGGAATTTCTTTCCGAAATCTCATTGATATCTACCATTGATGTTGCCGATGTATATAGTAGCGTATGTACATAAATAGTAATCCTACTCTGACAATCTGGAGTAAGATCAGAGCTCATATAAATAGCCAAAAACTAGGGAGTCTTTCTATAACGTAAACCTTGACGGCTACGTTAGCCTGGACACAAAATGGGGACATACCAAGTCCCAGAAAGCTCCCGTCTTTCGCCTTCCTTCTACCGCAAGAAATCCGTTAAACTATTAGCTATACTGTTAGGAGTAAACATGACCAAGAAGATCACTTCCAGAGCTTGACAACCATGTCATGGCTGGCTGAAGCTACCAACCCGTTGGCACTAGATACCGCCAAGGCCGAAACTTTTTTCTCGTGTGCTTGAACAGTCATCGTCTTGTTCTCAGCCATGTTCCACAACTCGAGAGTCTGCAGCAAAACCCCAAGTCAGACCATATTATGTTAAGAGGATGAGGCTTTGCAGTTATTATCAAACAAGGGGGGGAAAGGGGCAAGAGAGCTGATCACCTCGTAACATCCGATGATCATGACAGATGGATAGGTGGGGTGAAAAGCGCAAGTGTTGAACCTGTTTCCTGAGCGGTTTAGCTCGTGAATACAATCTCCTTTGCTGGCAGAGCCAATTTTCCAGACTCTGACCAAATCATCACTTACAGAAGCAAGGCACTCGCCGGATGGATCCCAACACACAGAGTTAACTTGGCTTTTGTGACCCTGGAGCAACAACATTTGCCCAAACGCCAGTCAAGACAGGAATCCACTACTTATACAGAACAATTTAAACAATCACCCAGCAGCATCTATCAACATAAACCTGGGGGTCATTAACCATTGAATTAAAATAGACAGAAGTGTCAAACCTGCAATTTGAGTCTGCAAACTTGAGTTTCGACATCCAGTATGTAAACAAAATTTTCAGCCATTGCTGCAAGGAGCCTCCCGTGGCGAGGTTGAAATCTCATCTTCATAGCATTCTAAGCAACAGTAAAAAGAGAGACCCGGATTAGCTGAAGCTACCAGAGAATAAAAACAAATGGGCTTTTTAACCAAATGCAGAGGGGAACCAGCAGATTCTACCTTGAAGACTCCAGCACAACTGCCATTCTTGATACTCCAGTAGCGCATCTCATTATTACTATCACAAGAGCATATAAGGTCCTCTTTAGTAGGGTGGAAATCAACTGACATGACACTTGCAGAATGCCCTGTGAAGGTCCGAAGTGAATAGCCCGGCTGCAAATTATAAGCAAGGGAGGGTTGAATGCTGTATCAGCAGAGAACCAAAGTAAACAAAAAGAAAGAAAACCCAATAGTAATATCAACACAGAGGACATAGACACTGTTGTCTAATAGTAAACATGTAAGAACCAAAGCAAATATGGAGTGACAGAGAGTAAATCAAGGTTATTATACATTATCAGCATCCCAAACCCTAACAGTTTTGTCAGCAGAAGATGTAGCAAGTCTTGACATGCTTGGGCTGAAACGGACATCAGTAATCCACTGTGAATGTTCTTCAAGTGCAGAATTTATTGTGAAAGATTCTGTGCCCCAAAGTGTTACCTGCAGTATATCATAATTCATCAACCAAAATCCTCCATTTTCAATAACTGTTTATAGGGAAGATTATTAAATAGTAAAGATTTACTTTTTTGTCATGTCCACCAGTGGCAAGCAGCTTTCCATCTGATGAAAAGTGACAGCATTCTACTTTACTTGTGCTCGCTGGCAGAACCTGGATCTCCGAAAATGTGAATCCTAGGACCAGAAAGAAATGCAAGAACTCCTGGTCACTCTGATCTGCCATTGTACTTTTGCCTTTCACATGCTATAGTGCAGGCAAACTGAAAACATGGGTGTCTTTTCTAGATGAAAACTACATTAGTTTTAGTACTACCTTTAGTGACATCATTAGACAGGCCGACTCTGTCCCTTGGATCTTCAGCATCATGCGAGAAAAAAGATTCGACATTATCATCCAGAGTTCTGTCATCTAGAATCCTATCCATATCAGCCTGCAATAACATACCACCGCTCAATGGCCGAGTATGATTCCCTGATCCAAATTGCAATTCTATAGAAAAGTAACTGGTTGGGGCATGCGATCGAATGACCAAATGGTATACACTTAAGTCATCTCAAACTAACTGAAATGGATCGTTGTAAAGGAGCGGAAACACTCACCAAATCATTTGTAGCTGCTGCAAGGGAACCCAGACCATCAGAGCCAAACATAAGCATAGACTTTGAGGAATTTGCATTTTGTGGTGCAGTAGGCAGTGACATAGCATCTCCAGGTGTAGAGGGAGAACTTGGGGACGGGCCAGTGGTGTTTGCAGTCCCTGAACTATTGGCAGGTCCGGACGAAGACACGGGCTGCTTTCTCTTTCTTTTAGAAACCTTCAAGAAATAATGAGGCTTATTAATATCATAATTCGCGACACTCAATTAAACCCCTAGTGACAAACTGGAACAGGGAACCAAGAACCCAAGTGTCACACAGAGTCCTTTTCATGAGGATAAAAAGAACTAAAAGGGCAACAGTCACAAATACAACAAAACTAGAACTGCTGACAAAATTCCTTATGCAATCACTTGTTCAATTTTATTGAAGAAGGTTAATTCGCATGGCAGACCCCAAGTTCTGGATTAGATGATGTATTGCAGTCATGCATAAGGTAGTAAAAATGTAATATTAGGCTTTAAGTAGAACATACATATAGAGTAAATAGCACAAGGCTGTAATATCTCATCCACGTACTAAGACAGAAAAAGAAAAAGAAAATTTCCAACGCATGACCTAGCTGATCAATGAAAACTCAATTCATAATTGTCACACAAACCTGATCCGTTCCATGAAAGGTGTTTGACATGCTGCCATCTGCTGCAATGCTACCTGAACCAATCATTCTGTCCTGCTGCTGCTGGAGCAAGGGATTTGAATTCTGTGACTGCTGACTTGAAAGTGGAAGTTGCGAGTACAGTTGCTGGTTGTTGCATTGAAGCTGTTGCTGCTGTAACTGACAGACCAAACCCAGCATTAGAGGAAAAAACAAGGCTTCAGAAAGCTTAAAAGGCTCAACATTTTCTGGAAACAACCAAGATTCTCTAGACATTCACAGCTTAGTTCAAAAAAAGTACCTTGAGTAGAATATCCGTGTCTCGTGGCATACCATGAGAACCAACTTGCATTGGTGATCCAATGTTACTAAGCAAGTCACCAGAACTTAATGGCCCTTCCTTAGGAACACCCATATTCTGGTTACCGAGAAGCATTCTTAATTTTCTTCGTTCCAGATCATTAGTAGATGGGGATGACAAATTTTGCTGTGCTTGAAAGATCAGTTGTTGTTGTAACTGAACTTTGTTGAGGTGCTGGGGATTTTGCATCAACCTTTGATGCTGAAGAAGCCCAAATTGATCCAGCCCCTAACAAGGTGACCAATCAGATTGGTTTGCTCTGCTGAGCTCTAATATGAGAAGGTACTTCCAAAACATTTATCAATACATCATATCATACTGGTAGAAGACTTTACATGAAGATGTGTATGAGATCATTAGAAGTTTATGATAAGAGCAAGTCTTACAGTTAAGGGCCATCCTTTCAATGTCAAATTGCTTCCTCCTTGATTCAGCCCTAAATTAACATAAGAAGATAGCTATGGTTCAGCATACGGAATGACAACAAAGATACCACATGGGCATTCTCTTTAGCTATGCCAATTCATTAGCTTCTTTGACAGAGGATACATAAACAGTTTGAAACTTGAGCAATTTGATATCTTCATAAGAATGCAAGATCTACCACTCTGAGATGAGTTATGAATGAACATGACTTCTCCTTATGGAAATAATATGCTCATATGACTTCTCCATCTAGTTCCACGCACTGCAGTGATTGTTAATTTGGCTTGCAAGAACATGCCTTTACTACTAAAACAAATAAGAACCAACCATATCTCCACTAGAATGACATAACATTTTAAGTCATAGACTAAGGACACTGGAATTAGCACGCGCTTTTCCAAGTACAAGTACCATAATAACAATCTAACAGATACAGGGAGCACTAAATAGTAAATACCATGAACTCCGCCCGAGGATCCTTCTGCACCGGAAGACCTAGGATTCATCATTTGGTTCATCTCAGTCTTTAAGTCCTGTAGCATGAGAAAATATATATTGCTCGACTCGGAAGCACGCAAACAGAACATAATATGGAAACGAACAATATAGGAAATGGCATGCACCTGAGAGGACATAGGTAGTTGCTGATTTCGTTGCTGAGAATGTTGCAGATTTCCCGAACTTCCGGCTGAACCGTGCATAGTTTGACTGCCCAAATATACGTACAAGATTGATATCAAAAGCAGAACTCCAACCGCCCTAATAATAGAACAAAAACAAGACAAGAATTACCTTTGAGGCTGGCCTCCTAAACCAGCTGCTTTCAGCAATGCAGAATTACTTGGGTCCATAAGCTGGCCCATGTTATCACTCAACCTTTGCTGTTTTGGCAATCAATTATTAGTAACCAGATGAGGAATATAGAAAGGCGAAGAATACTAATTGAATCCGTCAGAAAAGCCAAAGCACCTTCATAGCTGCATCCTCCAAGGACTCTCTCTGAAGTGGATGTTTCAGCTTATCCTCATACAATTTTGTCGCCATAGCACTGGCAGTTGGAGATGCATGTCTTGGAACATCATTACCAGCAAGCGACGAATTTGCAGCTGCATTTGGATTCTGACTGCCATCTCTTCTCTGCTGCTGTTGTTGTTGTTGTTGCTGTTGCTGTTGATGTTGCTGTTGTTGTTGCTGCTGCTGCTGCTGCTGCTGCTGTGCATGTCTTTGCAATAGCATCTGCTGCATCTGCATATGCTGTTGTTGCTGCAACTGAGTCTGCTGCTGAGTCTTGGGCTGTTGTCTTTCCCGAGCATTGGCCATTTGTGTCTGAAATTAGCATACAAAATACAATAAATGCTTTGACAAGGATGTACGCTTGTGAACTTTCCTCATCTCAGATCAGCAGTATCCTATAGTAAAATTATAAATTTCAGGAACAGAAGGAGCTCATGAAAACTACCTCAATGTAAGATGCAGCAGTTGGTGAATGCTTTTCATTTGTCCTGGCAATGAAGATGTCCCAGAAAACAGACCACCATTCAAACAGAAAACCACCAGGTGCATCGATAGCTGGAAGTGGAGAAAAATGGCAATCATCGATGGAGGTACGTTCAGCCAAAAAGTAAAAAGAACTCAAATGATGACAGTCATCCAAGTTATATAATGAATGGCAAAATATTTCCCGTCCTTTCCTTACCAACAGGATCAGTAGACACTTTCCCTTCAGCTTGGAATGCCTTGGCAGAAGCATGCAATTTTCTCTTCACGAGGTAGTCATATATGTAGACATCCAACCTGAAATGAACCCATCGGTCAAAACTGTAGGAAGACTAACATAATAACATGACATCCACCATAAGAATGCACAATGTTCTCCAAGAATTGTACAACATATTCTTAGTCTGGGGTGGATTATGCTGAAAATCTACTTCGCCGGTTGGTTGGGAAAATGCTAATGACTCCAGAAATCTTATCAAACAAAAGAACAATCCCACTTCTACTTAAGAAGCCAGTTCTCATTGAGCTAAAAAAAATTATTCTCGCTGGGTAGCAATTAGCAATCAGACAAACCGGTATCAATTATCAAACGAATGGTCAACTTGTTCCAAAGCTAGAAATGCCAAAGCATCCAACTTTCTGCTGCCATTTCCAACATTTATTCACGAAAGAGGCATACCATGTGAAGAATCAAGAATGGCTAGGTATAGGTAAAGGGAAATAGGACCACTTTGGAAGCAAACACTTGAAAGGACGAGAAAAAAAGGTCACAGTAGCAGCCAGAAAAAACCACAGTGAAAGCACTACAAGTCTAAACCCTAAAAGCTCAAAAAGAAGCAGGAAACAGGGGAATTCCACTCAATGAGCACGTAGAGTAGAAGACTACCCAATCCAACCAAAAATCCAGGTAGAAATTGCTCCCCAGTAAAAAGGAAGAGGTGAAAAAAAAGAGCATCAAAACACACAATAAAACCATGACACGCCGTTTCCAAACGACACGAAAATCGCCCAAAGGAAACACAACCAGGAAAACCCTAGGCCAACAAGCGCCCCCATCAGTTTTTGCTCCAAAGCGGGAATGAACCAAAAACCCACTTCAGAACACTGATGGTAGTCGAAATAAAGCAACAAACTCCATGGAGGAAGAAGAAGATAGAGAGAGAGCACGCACATTTTATCAGCTTCCCAGTTCGTCTGCGACATGATGACGGCCACCTCCAAAACAGTAGCAATACGAGAAGAAAACGAACGAAAGGAGATTCCTTGAATGCAACCCAGAAACAATGGCGAACCGCTAAGAAGAACCCAGAAAAAGAAAACAACCGTAGTCGAGAGACAAAGAAGCGTTTTTTCGGGCTTGAAAGGACAAAAATTCCTTTAAATACCGAAATACCATTACCACCACTCGAAGAAAAAGAAAATCCCCGTCAAATCTCTCTGCCTCCCGCCCGCCCCCTTCCAGTCCCACTCACAACTCTCCCTCTCTCTCCTCTATCTCTGTCTCTCTCTCTCTCTCTCTCCAGAGTCCAGATCGAAGACGATTAATAATCTTGCGGGCCAAGAAATTAAAATGGTTGGAACAGCCTCCTCTGTGGCTGAGTTCTAAGCCAGTGCGAGTGCATTTCCTTTTTATTTCCGCTTTACCCCTCTCTGTTTTACGATGAATCTTTCTTAGCGCTTTTTTTTCTCCTTCGTTTGCTCAAATTAGCGCCTTTTTCTTCTGCCATTACAGATCCCAATTACGGACCTTTCGAAAAGAAAATATTTTTATTATCAAAACCACAAAAGAAAAAAAAATTAGTTGCTTAAAATTTCCCCTGGCAACTGGCAAGTCTTGCATTGGAAGCAGAGGATTAAAAAGGAGTAGATTAATGTTGACCTTAAATTGTTTATTAATCTATAACGTTGTCCCCTGCGGTCGCGTAAGAACAAATTATAGAATAATCTATATGAAGTATGGTTTACGATACAATTTTGGCAAGTAATTTAAGCAACCTTAGTAAGTAGAAGATAAATGAGAATTTTCTGAGTATTTTTCATATTCCTAAGCTTGTTTTCTGCTGTTTCTTGCAGCAACGAGGCTCCTACCAGTTGTGCTGTGCTTGTCGTATATTCTTTGTCTTTTATGTAACTGAATAAACACTTTCCATCCAAAAAGGAAATATGATGCATCTATAGTTTGTTGTGTAGATCCATAAAAAAAAATATAAAATGATTTATTGAGTCGCTCGTCATTTCTTGTTTCATGATCGTTGAAAGCACTCGATGACAACGTTATCGTATTAAAATGTTCTTATTAGTAAATGACATAAGAATTATAAGTGAACATCTCACTACAACTCGAGTTACCTAGATCAACTGGTTCTTAATATTGTATTAGAGGTTTAGATGAATGACAGGTTATATGTTCGGATCTCGACAGCTCGCGTTTGATAATCGCATGGTATTCGCACCTGTGTGAATTCAAATGTTAATTAATTGGGTTTTCCTTTAGGATGCGTATAAGGACCATAGTTTTACCTATTGGTCAATATTATAGAAATCCTATCGTACCGGTCAGTCAAACCGGCAATATGGGATATCAACCCCTTATGATTCAACCACAATTTTAGTATTAAATACCATATCGCTTACTTTTTCGGTATCATTGCTATTTGCTAGCTCATTGTTTCATTAATCCGCCAAAAAAGGACCCATACGTTACCAGCAGGAAGGAAGGAAGAGATATGGGTTCTCTGTTAAAAATTGAGATAGTCAAAGTTAGGAGAAGGGTGGGCAAAAATGTTGACCTACCCTGCAATAATTAGTAGAAGATGTAGGGGTGGAAAAGTTTTGAGCTTTTCAAGTCAACCTTTATCTTGATAAGGGCATCTGCAGAGTTTAGTGGATGTCAGAATCTCTGCCCACTTTGCCATAATGTGGAAGAAGAAGAAGAAGACATTAATGTATGGGGTTTGCATTGTTCTGCAAAAAGGATGGGCAAAGCAGTAAAGCTTTTTTGACTTTTTACCTATGGGTAGAGATTCATAAAGCAATCAGGAGTAAATGATAAAGAGGGATTGCCTCCTTTGTAAAAGTTATAGCATTGATGAGGGGGAAAGGGGAACTCTGAGAAGTGAGAACTGAAATCAATGGCTTCACCACTTCAACTTACTGGACCATCAAAAGGGTCACCAAAACCCAAGGAATTCGATTTGCACACCACAAAACATATTTCATTCTTACTTCTACTGAAGTTTATAATGAGCTAACCTCAAACCATCCGAAAACTTACTACTTCCTGATATGATGATGGGGGACCTAAGTACTGAATGGAGAGAGAGCTAAACTGAGAGAGAGTGATGGAGACTAGAGAGCTTTGTTATTGGAACTCAGCTGCATGAGATGCAGAATCAAAACAAAATGCAGGTAGGAGGCTTGACTTGTAGTTTACTCTTTGAAGTCATCTTTGTCATCGACTGGAATCGGCATGTTCCTCCAGAAAACAGCAAGTGCACTTCCACCGAGCTGCAGATAAAGTTTCCATGTTTAAATTGTTAACATGTCAATGTTAAGAAATTTGTGGGGCGAATGAGGCTAAGAGTGGGGTTTAAGTAGAAATCTTACAGCCATTGCAACAACACTGACAGCTGAAGGCACAGCCACGAGGGGATTCGTAAAATGCTTCTGAGCAAGCAAGAACCCAAGGGCGGAGCTCTGCATAAACAGGTCAAGGATTAACAAATGAAGACTCCATTTACCAGTAGCATGCAGAAAACCAACTGACTACAGAGTAATCTGTACTTGTGATATGTATGAAGAGTGTCATACAGAGTTTCCTAGTGCTAATATCATACACCAGAAACCCATACAGGCATACACCAAAGATTAGCAAGTGCAGAAAACAACTACTATACAATTTAAACCATTTCCACCAGTTTGATGCCTTCCCAAGTTTCCTTTCCAAGTGATCATGCTTATTTTACAGAAGTTGCAGATTAGAATCTAGTCATTGAAGAAAAGTCTGAATTTTTTTGCCAATAGTGTCATGTACATAATCATTACCCTTCTAAGATATAAGATAACAAAGCCTATGTCGTTCTGTTTAAGTAACTTAAACAACAAATAAAATTGTATGTACCTGCATTCCACATTCTATTGAGATGGTACGAGAAGTGGATTCACCAAACGACATCTTTGAGATAAAATAACCAATTGCAAATGCGGCAGCATGTAGAACAGCCACTGGCAGTATTAGTTGTGCTCCTTGAGTTTTCAATACATCTGCAACTTGCCCAATCTTGGGTATCATAGTGGAAGAATTGGAAGTTAGCTTTAGCCACATAACTAATCAAGTATCAGAACTCGAAACAGAGATCTTACAGGGCTTGCACAGAGTAAGGTTGTGAGGAGGACTCCAATTAGAGGTGTCACGGAGATTATCTTTGCCGTGAACTTGGGGAAAAATTCATTTGCTAGAACTGCATAGACAAAAGAACCAAGAGTTCAGATATTCTGGCAAGCATTAGCAAAATCTAACTTTCAAGAAGATATCTTATAGAAAGTTTTCAAACACCTCCAAGAATAGTTGGCAATAGCACAACCTGAAACGTGCTCAGAGCGAGACCCTGAAAAGAGTTCAAGAAAATAAATAAGTTGTAGAACGAAGGAGCAAAGAGAAAACCACAAAGGTAAATGCCGAGGCACCGTTTGCAGAGCATTAATGATTAGTCTGCCATTGCATTTCAAGTTTAGCATAAACATGAGGGTGTGTGACAGCCAGATAATAGAACTTACTGCAGCATCAACGGGAACAAGCTGGCCAGCTAGAAGCTTGGTAAGAAGGGGTGTCATGATAATAGCACCAATGGTTGAACAGCTGTGAAATCCATAATAACAGAGAGACAACAAGTGAGTAAGAAAAGTAATAATTACAACAGATTCTGTAGTCAATTGTGAGTTGGCCAAGATTTGAACCACAAATAAACAAGGATAAAACTGAAGGTATGTTCACTCATTAGAAAGGAAATGAACTGGACCACTCCATAGTAGTTGTGTGGTATTTTCAAACTCCAGTAAGAACATGAAATGGACAAAGGTCATTGGTTAACATATGCTAACTATGAATCTTTTGACCAGATTATGAGTCTTCTTGTTTCTACATTTTGAAAACACCTATAGACTAGTCTTATGCAATCACACAATACCATGACAAACTTCTTACACTGAGAAAAGGGAGAACCTATTCCCAACTAAGGCAAGTGATGAGGATCTTGGTATTCCATGAAAATAAATCTAGCTTCTTTGAAATACCCCCCAACCCAATGCCACAATAGCCATGGATGATAAATTGCACTTACGTTGTCATCAGAACTGAAAGTGCCACATTTCCCTTCGATATATATGTTGCAACATTAGATGCCTGACCTCCTGGACAGCATGATACCAGAATAAGTCCAGTCGCAAGAGGTGCCGACAGTTTTAGGCTCTGGAGACAAAAGAGGAGAGATTTCAGTAAATCACTGATGGGAATACAAAAGACTTTCTCAGAATACAATTACACAGACAACATTGCATATACATACTCCAGAGAGAAACCACATAGATAATACAGGGGAAAGATGCACCATTAAAAGGAGCAAAGGACTTCCATACTGAAACCAATAGCGCTTAGTCTGATCTGGTACACTATACTCCCACTAATGGGGCTACAGCAGTTCAATTGATAGGAGATGTAACCCAAATGCAAAAACTAATTAATAAATCAATCATCACTACACTGCCATAATCCTACCTAAATGTACCACATTTATCATTCTAATGGTGTTACATGCAGGAAGGCATCACATCAAGATATTAAAATTAAAATCGTTTTTATTATAGCTCCTATCCCTCTGGAACATCCAAAACTTACGCTCAAATTTTTTCCCTGAGCATGTGAACTTATAGCATAACATGAGATTCTAAGAACAGCAACACAATAATAGATGGTTTCCATGTTGATAATCAGAAAATTTTAGGGCAGTACCATTGCTATCGCAAAGCCTAGCAGGGGTTTGATCAAGTACTGAGCAAGGAATCCTACACCAACCTGCAACAATTGAAGATATGCTCATCACTTTACTCATCATAAAGAAATCCCTCTATTTTAACAGAGTTTACTAAGTCCTAGTCTTACAGTCCAAGGGTTCCTCAAACATCGTCTAAAATCTTCAAACGTCAATGTTAATCCCATAGAAAGCATGAGGAAACCCAGGCCAACAGTGAACAGATCTGTCTGCAACCATGTAACCTGTGTGCAGCAGCAGCATTCTAGTTAACTCGAGTATAGAAACAGTTTATCATTTGCTATAAATTTCGTAGCGTAAGACTACAAGAGGAATATATTACCGCAGCTGGCTTGTAGATACCAATGACGGTGCCAAGAATGACCTGTTAATTCAATTCAACATTAGAGTGTCAACCAATGCATCAGCATAACATGCATAGTCAAGTTCTCCGAAACGAAAAGTCCATTCAAGTCTAACCAAGTTTGTACGAAGAAGAGCTTGACACCTACCCAGAGTGGGAACAGAGTTGTCAGTGTTTCAATTATCTTTTCATACTGGCTCATTTCAGCAGGACTGCTGCTGGGAACATCGCCGGACAAATTTGTAGCAGCATTGCACAAAACCACAGAGCTCCTACGATTCAGCCACTTACACGTTACTACAAATAACAAATGTACAAACCAGTTTTCCTACAACCTAGTTCAGTGCGTGGCACTGGATCAAGCACTCAAAAGGAGGGAGAAGAGGAAGTCTTTGCTTTTATTGATGATTGAAAGTGCTTTATTAATCAAAAGAAACGCTTTCTCATCATTGCCAAGTAACTAAGAAAATTCTGTCCACCATGATAATGATCAAGGTATTTAGCAGGATGGTAAAAAGAGAGGACAGGTCAGTAAAGCAAGATACCTTGAAGTCTGCATGATAGGAGAAACAGCTGAAATAGGAACAACAGGACTGTTTGGCTTGCTTTGCAATGCCAAAATCCTTCCATTCTTAGGCGCCAAGTTCCAGCCTTTCAGATCTTCAAACCAAAATCGCACATCGAATTGACATTAGAACAACCCAAAAAAAAAAAAACAGCCAGAGAACCAACGAAAACAATCAAGCAGGAAACGAAACAACATTACCCAGATGAGTATTCAGCCTCCTGACACTCAAACTAGAACAACTGGGCTTCTGTACAGCCGCTGCAGTTGTAAAGTGGCAGTCTTTGGCCACAAATCTAGACATGGACGCCATTTTGCGGCACTTTGATCCAAACACCAGGGAGGCTGGCTGGGGTTTAATCAGGCAGGCGGCTTCCTTGGAGACGGTCCAAGGGGAAGGAGAAGGAGAAACAGAGGAGGTGATACAACCAAAGCCAAGCCAAAATTGAGATAAGGGTTTAAGGAAAAGGATAGTGATAGTGCTACCCTGTTGCTCGCAAACAAATGGGGGAAATTATTTTTTGACAATAAAAAGGAAAAAAGGAGAAGGTCGTGGAAAACGATGAGAGCCACACACTCACTCCCCTCGAGCTCACACTTCTTCTCATCCAGATGTTGCGCTAACTAATTTGGCGAAGCCGGCGCCATGTCGGCCAGAGGAGGATGAGGAAGAAGGGCCTGTGATTGGTGGGTTGTTGGATTTTCTGATAGTGGTGAAATCTGTCTCCATCTCGTAGCCTTGGGTCGTCGAACAATTTCTTTGTTGCTACGTAAGGTTGGTTCATTTTTCTTTGTTTCTGTTTTTGCTTCTTCTTCTTCTTCCTAGTGTCACGGTTCCTCCTTAGAAATTTGGGGTCTCTAGGAGCTGGAAAATGAGCAAACATAGGTTTACACTTAAAACTACTTAATTTTAGGTCATGTTTAGTATCATTGTTTGTTCCCGGTTCCTACTCGAGTTATCAAAATTGTTGTATCAAATTTAGGTGTTGAATTTCGATGATCGCGACATTTTCTTCCCCCTTGCTTTCAATTGTAACGGTTGTGATTCGCACATATCTCAACAAACCAACAACAACTGTTATCATGGGATGTAATCATGTTCATGTCTGTATTTCCTCTGTGATCCGAGAACGTGAGAATTATGTATTTATCTTGATTGTACTGATTCAAAAGGATGGATTAACCCTCGAAGTAGATTATTGTTGCTCCCTTGTTTTTCAGGATTTTAATTGCAAAACATTACAAGTTAATTAGCACTTAGTAGCACCTCATAATGTTGTTGGCCTATCTAACAAGGACCAACCACCTTAAATACCCATACGGAAAACGTGCGGCAGCTGCCAGCTCAAATTATTTTGGGCTTACAAATCCCGGCCCAATTAGGCAAAATGCTATCAAGTATGCTTTGATTGATGGCTATGATGGGCTCTGACCCTCCGTAGATAAAGAAAATGTAAGCCCAATAGAGTAAATAAATATGTCCCTTCAATCCGTAACCGTTGAATCCTCTAGAGGATCCAAAATGGAAGAAGGAGACTATTGTACCTAACACGATTAGCCCACAAATATTCACAACCCATTAAAGGCCCAGGTTTTGCTCTTCTACTCGCCGACCCAATAACAATTTCCCATTCGTTGCCCTTATGGTTTCCTTTTCAATGATATTTGTATTTCTTGTGTTTCATCATTCATGTGTCATGCAAATTTCAAAACCAAACAACATGCATTTCTTTGTCAATAATTTTACACTTGATAGAGCATGACTATGTGAGTATAAAGGGAGTCATTTGGCTTTGTTGATAAGAAATATTCAATCTAAACGAACTAGGATTATTTTGTGCTTGTTTCGAAAATCTTGTAAATGATCTATTGATACATATATTATACGTGTACAAAGAGATAATTGTGAGATATTGGTGTGAATTAAAATTTGATGTACTTTAGTTTAGTGTCCCTCGGGTAGGGGTGGGCATCCGGTTCGGTAAATTCAAACAGAACTGATCCGAACCGAAACCGAAATAATGGTGTTTGGTTCGAAATTCGGAAAAATTTGGTGTAATTCGGAAACCAAAGTCATCTCGATCGAACCGAGATTTCGAACTCCAAACCGAGCAACCGTAAAAGAGAAAGAGTAACCCCTCGGTACTGGATCTTACCCAGGATTTACTACTCTTCCACCGCCAACCAAAATCAATGGTGGGAATTCAGATATGGGTTTTTTTTTATCAGAACCTTGATGATTTTCATATTAATCACAAACGACTGTTACAGATATGGATTTCTTTTGGTGCCAAAGGAATGGGGAAATCTTCTACCAAAAACAAAAGAAATGGGGAGGTGAGCAGTCAGATCCCATTGAAATAAGCTCGAATCTGGCGTCGTCTCTTGTTGTGCACAGAAGCTTGATTTCAGAAAGGCGACAACCAGATGTAAGACACAGTGAGTGGAATGGCCGCGGTGTGTGAGGGCGACTGGTGGCGGAGGGACATGTGCATCGTGTGCGAGGCCTTGGCGACGAAGGGACTGAGCGTGACCCAGTGGCGGAGGGATCTGAGCGCGACCCGGTGGCGGCGGAGGGACTCAGCGCGATGCGGTGGCGGAGGGAGGACGAAGGGGCTCGCCGGGCAGTGATGCTTCCTCTGGGATTGCGGTCGACGACTTTGTAGCACAATTTCTGATGTTGCCATGGGAGAGGGAGGAAGGAATGGGAGGGAGTGAGAGAGGAGCAGAGTTTGAATTTTTGTGTGGTAATTAATTAGGGTAGTGGGTGGTCACTGGTCTATGAGAAGAAGTAGCGAGAGCCGAGAGGGGAGAGAAGATCGGAGGAACGATTTTTCGGTTCGAAATCGGTTTCAGCTTTGCATGATTTTGAGGTATCGATATGCTCTTGTTTGGTTCGTTTTGAACCGAACCGAACCAATGCCCACCCCTACCTCCCGAGACGACGCAAGGAATAAAAAATAGAAGTGCATGAAAAGTGATGGAGCGATCCAAGTCTGATGCGACGAGGACTTTAAAATGATACTCCAGTTGTGCATGATGATTGCTACGTCGAAAAGCCTAATAGGGACCGTCGATTCTTTATCCATGCGTTTTACAATGAGATTGTGGAAGAAGCAAACTCGTCGGGGATCATGTCGAAGTCCGACCATTACACACTAATCTTCTCCCACCCAAAGATATCATGACTATGCTGAACTCGACAAAACCCCATGAGTGATGAAGGAATGAAGTGTGTGCTTTGACCACTATCAATCCAACAAGGATCTGTCAGACGACTGAGGTGATGAAAAGCTTGCCTTGAGTTGAAGAACCGTTGAGAATGGGAGCTGTTGAATTTATGGGTGCTCCAAATTACTTGTAGATGGTTGTTTTAGCGACGGTTTATTTGTTCTAGTGGCTATGATGGTGCAAGACCCTTTATATTTTTTGGATGTTCCAACTCCTAGAGGGCTATTATGGTTATGTTTTAGCGACTATTGACAAAGCCAAATGCCTCCCTTCATACTCTGATAGTCATGTTATATCAAGTGCAAAACTATTGGCAACAAAATGCTGTGTTGTTTGGTTTTGAAATCCACATGACACATGAAATACAAGGAATACAAAAATCATTGAGAAGGAAACCAAAAAGGTAACTAACCAAAATAAGAAGCAATTATGACAAAAGCCCACAAGGAATCTTAATTTCAAATGCAAGAACATGCCCGGAAGACTGCTTATGCATATTGTTTAATTACCAGCTTAAGTTATGGCGCTTGAGTGAAGTAAAGATACTAATTCCATTTCCCATATACACAAGGATGATTTCCCAAGGAATTTGCAGTGAGTGAGTCACGAAATTAAGGAAACTTGCCCTTATTTCCTGGTGCTACATGACCTTTTCAATCATTTTCACACATCATTTAGTTTGCCTCTCGCCGTCGCCGTGCATTTTCCATAATTTGTCCAATGTCTAGTTTGCTTGCACTCCTAATTCGAGTTCACCATTTAAAATCTCATATTCATGGTATAGATAGACTATAGACTATAGAGTCACAAGTCACAACACCATAAAATGTTTAGTTACCATTATAATGTCTTTTAATCCATACATGGGTTGTATCGGGCACAATCCACTTGGAGTCAAATTAAGCACATCGATTTAGCAAATATCGGAGTCATATCAATGACCGAAATGAATACTTATGTTCTCATGGATGTAGAATACGACGGGACCAAAAAACAAACCTATGGAATTTGATCATGCCCACTATTAAGAATATGCATATCCAATCCAACTTGTATGAGTTAGAGTTCGTATTGGGTACTCGAATTTCTGTCATCCTTAATTCACAAGAGCCATCAACGTGTTTTTTTTCTCATTTATCAATCTAATTTCAATTTTATCGGACTTTTATCAACCTAATTGAGTCCAAAATTTAAACGATTTCATTTGCACAATAAGTGACACGCCATCAACCCCGCTATGGGCAAAGACTATTTAAAAAGAGATATTAGTGAAGAAAATATATTATTGAACCTTTACAGTCTTAATTTTGTTGGTAAACTCTCTTTCCGTCTTAATCTCTCTATAATTATCGTTGACCGTGGTAAATTGACAGTATATATAGTGATAAATCTTCTATTTTCTGGCAAGAATCTAATGCTGACCCTTTACCCTTGTTTTTTTGTACTATTGAAAGAAAAAGGAAAAGGTGAAGGCGTTATGACTACTGCCAGCTAGGCTTTTCCCATCTTTATTTACTTATCGATATATAATTATTCAATTATTATTATTATTTTTTTTTTTTACGTTTTAGCTTCTTCTCCTCGTGATTCCTTCTTCTTCTTCTTCTTCACCTCTCTCTCCCCTCCCTTTTATCGTGCCAACACTCCAATCCCCTCTCGCTAATGGAATCTCTCCGGGGAACTGTCTTTCCTCTCGATAATAACCGCCGGCAGAGTGACCCGCTGGTTTGATAGCTAACTCAGGCTTCAGCTCAGCTCCCGTTGATCTTACATTTTTTTGGAGTCGCCCCTTCCTTCCGTTTCTCCATCTTGGCGCATCAATGGCGGGGGGTTTCGATTCTGGTTCGACGCTTCTCGCGTGGCTTCTTCTGGCATCGCTGCTGGTGGCGAGTGTGACGGCGGAGCCGCCGGAGGAGGAGAAGCAAGCGCTCCTCTCTTTTCTCTCACAGGTCCCACACGAGAATCGTCTCCAATGGAGCTCCAACAACAATTCCTCCGTCTGCAGCTGGGTCGGAATCGAGTGCGACGCGGACCAGTCCTCCGTACACTCCCTCCGCCTCCCCGGCGCCGGCCTGGTGGGTCCCATTCCGCCGCAAACCCTGGGCAGGCTCTCGCAGCTCAGAGTCCTCAGCCTCCGCTCCAACCGCCTCTCCGGCGAGATCCCCTCCGATTTCTCCAACCTCACCCTCCTCCGCAGCCTCTACCTTCAAAACAACGCCTTCTCCGGCGGTTTCCCCGCCGGAGTCACTCCGCTAGCTCGGCTCACCCGGCTCGACCTCTCGTCCAACAACTTCAGCGGCCCGATTCCGTTCGCCGTCAACAATTGGACCCGCCTGACCGGCCTGTTCCTCGAGAACAACGCATTCTCCGGTCCTCTCCCTTCCATCTCAGCCAATTTGGTCGATTTCAACGCCTCCAACAACAGGCTCAACGGCTCAATCCCTAGAAATTTGCAGCGTTTCTCCGCCGCGGCATTCGCCGGGAATCTAGGTCTCTGCGGCGGGCCATTACCT